TAATTGATTAACCAACTGATTTAACTTTTCAAGAACTGTAACAGACACACACACTCTGGTCAACACTGCCGATGACTGCCTGTTTTCCCAGCCAGAGCTGCATGTTATCAGTCTCATAAACTGGAAAATTTACAAATTGATGTCAGTCTGATAGCTTAAAAAAAAACCTCACTACTACTGTAATTTGCATTTCCTTGGCCTAGTATAGTTGAGCATCTTTTTATACATTGATCAGCTGCATGACTTTCACTTGTGAACCCATTATCCAGATCCTTTGCCCATTCTGTTTCTTTCTTTTTCTATTTTCTTACCAGATTGCAGGAGTTGTCTTTTACAGGTATTTTCTTGCCTGTCCTATATTGACTTTGAGACCATGGTTTTCTAGGCAGAAGTTTCTGATTGTTGTGTTGTTGAGCTCATCAGATTTTTTATGGCTGCTGGGTGTTCTGTCTGCTCTGGGTTAAATTTCCCCCAAACTCTCCTGTTTCCTTCTGGTATCCAGCTGAGATTTATTTTTATATTATGAAGAATTAATAATAATAATAAGAGTAACAATAACAGCTAGCATTTGTTGAGCAAATTCGATATGCCAGGCGCTCTGTAAATAGTTTATACTCTTCGGGATTAGAGATAAGAAAATTAAGGATTAGAGCCCTGGCCAGTTTGGCTCAGTGGTTGGAGCATCGGCCCTCGGACCAGGTTCGATTTTGCCTAAGGGCACCTTGATCTGGGGCCCCAGTCCGGGCGAGTGCGGGAAGCAACCAATTGATGTGTCTCTCACATTGATGCACCAACCTCCCCCGAAAAGCAGTGGAAAAAATACCCTTGGGTGAGGATTTAAAAAAAGAAAATTAAGGATTAGAGAACTTAAGGAGCCAGCGCAGTGCACACAGCTAGAGCACAGAACTGGGACTGGAACTCAAGCCTTCTCTCAGGACCTCACCCTTCTACACATCCAGACGACAGCTAACTATGCCAGCCCCATCTGATGAACATCTTTCCTGTGTAAGTAAAATACGAATTTCAGAACACAAATACAGTCAGTATATCTCTGAATTCTATTGCAGTTGTGTTGTAACTATATTATTTTTATTTTAGTAGTTTCTTAGTGAGTTTTTCTCTCTCTCTAGTAAGGCAAGTGCTTCCTCACTACGCTTCCAAATTTATCCAGTAAACTTTTAAATATTTTTATTCCATACAAATATTTAAGTCATTATCTAACTTCTAAGAAAACGGATCGTCATGTTTTGACTCGAATTGCATTAAATGATTCCATTAGTTTATTGAGAATTGATGTTTATTTAATTGTATTTTTTACTCCTCACCAAGAATATTTTTCCATTGCTTTTCGGAGAGAGTAGAAGGGAGAGGGAGAGAGACATCGGTGTGAGAGACACACAGCGATCGGCTGCCTCCTGCACTCGCCCCACCGGGGGCCAGGGATCGAACCAGCAACCAAAGTACGTGCCCTTGGCCAGAATCGAACCTGGGACCCTTCAGTCTGCGGGCTGCCTCCTGCACACCCCCGGCTGGGGACCGAGCCCACAACCCCGGCATGTGCCCTGACCGGAGTCAAACTTCGATCTCCTGCATCCTAGGTTGAAGCTCAGCTGCTGAGCCACGTCGGCCCGGCTCTACTTGTTTTTTAATTAGTCTTTTGCATTTTCTGGGTATACGGTCACACCACTGCAAAAAGTTTATCTTCATTTTCAAGATTTATCCCAGTTGTTAAAATTATGGAGGAGTCTTATTACATTAGTTAAAACTTTCAAAAAGTATTCAATGTAAAGATCCCAGCTTTGTCACCAATTTTAATAGCAGTTGCTTCAATGTTTCACTCGATCAGACGATGTTGCTGACTGTAATTCACAGTCTTTTTCAGGCTTGATAGTTTCCTTCAGTTCCTATAATACTTGGAATTTGTATTAAAAAACCTACTTAACTTTATCCAATTTTTTCACTGATTGCTATAATCACATAATCTCTACCTTTAATTTGATGCTATTCTAAGTTATGTTGCTATGTTTTCCTCACGACCTAAAGCACTGCAGTTCTGGAACAAGCACATATGATTGCCCCTGTGCTTCTCAAGCCATTCGGAGACCATGAACAAGAGAGAAGGCTCTTTAGCTCACTGTATATTTTGCCATATCCTTAATACCAAAACCTGCTGCAAAGTGTGCAATATAAAAATTATAGAATTTTCCTTATGAAGATATAAACAATTCTCAAAAAAATATTAGCATGTTAAATCTAGCAGTGAGTTAAATGAATGATAGCAAATAATATGAGAGTATAACTAGAAGACCTAAGATATTCAACAACAACAAAAACTAGAGTAAAAGAATTTCAAAAAATGGCTAGATATCAAAAATCAATAATATCAAAAAACAATAGCTTTCCTATACACTACAACCAGTTAGAATTGGAAATGGGGGAAAGCGTACCCTATTCATACCATAGGTGTGTTTTTTAACCAAATTTTTGAAAGAAAAATTATTTTTAGTGTTATTTGTGGATTTGTGAAACATACCCTTGAAAATGGAAACTAAGCATGGGCGGGCCCTGAGTGTCCTCTAATGATTAATTCCTGCCAGACCACTTAGAGGGGGCGGGGTGCCCTGCTGACTCACCAGGCCTTCATCCCTCAGCCAAATTCCAAACAGTCCTATAGTTTCCCTGAAAATTACTGGTTAAACTGAGCTTCACAAGAGAATTTCTGAATGAATTTCCTTTTGTTTGAGTTGGTCTTTACGTCAAGGGCACAACAGATGTTCATTTTCGTCAGCTAAACATTGTGTTGTCACTGTTAACTATTAAAAACACACACACACACATAGCTCAGATAGAAAATTCCCTAGAAAATTAAAAAAAAAAATACTCCAGATGTAGCCTGGACAAAAATTTCCCTGGAAAGAAAGAAGTGGTTGTCTCACTGTCTGGAAGTTTCCTGTTTCTGGGAGTGCATTCACCCATTTAGGGAGGTAACACGCTGCCCGCGAGCCCGCGCACCGCGCTGGGGATGCCGCCCGCAGTCAGGCCGCCGAGGGAGCTTCGCCGCGCCTGGGCCGAGACAGCCTCCGCAGGACCTGTGGCAGACTTACCCCTTTCCTTCGGGGCGACGAAAGGAGAGCAACGGGCGAATAAGAAATAGTCATCTCCCCTTCCCGCTGAACGGACAGGGTCTGTTACGACTGCCCGAGAGCAGCACGCTCCACGCAGGAGCGCCCGGGCGGCTCAGTTCTGCGTCCCGCCCTCTGGGCAGAGGCCCGCGCTTTCCAAGCAGCAAGAGGAGCCCTACTTCCCCTCCGCCTGCCCGCTGGGGCTGAGGTCAGCTTGGGCCAGCAGGAGTCAGCTTGCCCAGGGGGACTCTGCCCTCTGCCCTCTGCCCCCTGCCCCCTGCCCCCTGCCCGGAGGCTGGCCTTGCCGGCAGGCTAATGCAGTGTGGGTACCCAGGGGCCAGGACAAAGTGCAGGCACGTCCCTGTGGGCCATGGGGCATGAGACCTGTGTGGGCTCTGGGTTAGTAAGGAGAAACATCTGGTGGTGGTTTCCAAAAGAAATCTGTTCATCTTAACGGGAGCCACCAAACTGTTCATATATTTGATCTCATGATTCCATTTTGGGGAATTTGTTGAGGAAACAACCTAAAAGAAAAAATGTCTAAAGATATTCTCATAATAGTGCAATTAGTAATCATGATAAATCCTTAGCATCCCAAACACTTCCAGTGGAGAACTGTAATGTAACCTGGATGAAACATTACAGAGGAATTAAAAACGAAAAGCATGTGTAATTCATAGACCAGAACATAAAATGGAATTCACGCATGGATTATAATTATATGAAACTTCAGTAGGACATCAAGAAAGATTAGAAGAGAATTCAGAATATTGCTGATGGCTTAGAATTTAATTAGTTTTTTCCTAGAATTTTCTTTCTTTTTTTTTTTCAAAAAAGAATACCACTCACTATGCAAATAAGAATAAATGGCAACAGACATGGACATACACAACCTATTCAGGCCAGGCTTAAAAGCAAAGAGCAGATGCAGTTGCTGGAGTGCTGGGATTTGTTAGTCGGCCCACCTCCAACCTCTCCAGGTCCTGACAGACACCAGGCTCTGACCCCACCACCTCCAAACAGATGGCGCTGATGTTAGCTACTCAGAGGTATAAGCATGCATGTCAGCGTCTCTGGGTTTCCGGTTCTGGGTTGGTCCCCCTTCAGTCTGACTAGTAATGCTAATTATCTGACTAGGGAACCTTCCCTGAGGCTGTTTGCCTGGCTTCCTGCCAGCACCTTCAATTTGGGCTGTCCCCTAACACCCATTCCACTGCATCGAGCCGGTGTAGGCCCAGACGTCCTCTCCTTACCAAAGTTCATCCCTTCATAGCTCAATGGCTTTTCATTTTTAAGGATCTCTACTAAAAGATAAGCATCCTTGAAAGCTGTACCATCTTAAGCCAGTGTTTTGCAATTCTGTGTCTGGGTCTGTTGTTCCCTGAGTAAGCAGGGAAGGGAGAGGCAGAGGAATGACAGAAACAGGTACCTTTTACTAATACCTGGTCTGTGTCTAGCACTTTTTATACATCAACATTCACAACAACTTTGCAAGAAAACATTATGGTTTCCCTTTGCAGACCAGAGAGGTTAAACAGCTTGTCCAAGACCACACAGCTGGTATGGGACAAAGCCATACTGTGAGCCCAGGCCTATCTGGCTCGAAAGCCAGGCCTCCCTCACCCTGCCTACACTGTGTACCCTTTGTCGAGAAAGTACAGGGCAGGAGTCAGGAACCCAGCTGTGTGGCCTTTCACACAGCTTTGCTTCTCCAGGCGCTGGTTCCTCATCTGTAAAGTGAGGGAACTGGACTTAACAAGCTGCCCACTAGAAAGAAACTGAAAGGGCTAGGGAAATGGCCAAAACAGTCCCCAAAGGCCATCCTTTCCCATTTCACCCTAGGGACCACCGACAGAGCACCGAAGGTGCCCAGGCGGCATGTTATCCACTCACTGGAAGAAAAGGAAAGGGCCAAGAGTGATCTCCACAGTCACATTTCCCCAGCTGTCGCGCGAGGAACCACGAACAGGGCTCCTGCACGTTGGGAAAGAGACCCTTTGCGACAGAGCGCCGGGCTGCGACGCTGAGCTCTGGCCGCGGACCGTCCCAGGGCAGGCGGGGCCCTGGCGGGAGGCTCCGACCGCCCGCGGGGCCAGCGGACAGCGCCTCTGCCACGGCTCCCACTGCGGAGGGCGGCGGGGAGGCCGGTGTGGCTCCGTAAGGCCACCATAAGCTCCGTCGCCAGAGAACAGGTGCAGAACGCACGAG